CCGGTATTTTTGGTTACATCTTGTAACATCAAGCCCGGTTAACGATTAAACCGATCAAGCTTTCAAATTAGACATCATGGTGGCCTGAATACATGTGAAATAAACACAACAATCATCAAGCTATCCAGAAGGAATAAGTGCAAAATGTTAGAATGTAATCAAGATTAACAAAAAAAGGATTGGTAACATAAATTCAGGAAGGTGAAATTGGATTCGTATTAACCGGTGGGCAAGCTCAATTTAATGAACAGACGGCGGATCAAGAGTAAACGCGACGGAAACATGTTTATCTAGATTTTTTTTTTTTAAATCGATTAACGACGGCAAGAAGGTGTAAAGCATCCACACCATGAGATAACTCTAGTTAAGAACATAAGGCGGAAAAGTTACCTGAGAATCGAGTAAGAGCATGTCGTCTCCCATGAGCTCTCCATCATGGCGGACATTACCGGACTTGATCAATGGCGGTGGAGTCTGCAAATCAGAAAAGAAGTCACGTTAGATATACTTTTGAGGTAATTTTTTTGGCATGAGCCCTCCATACTTGTTCTTTACAGCAGCTTCTTACCCAATACAATTTAAAGATAAGAGTTAGATCACTCAGTGTTTGAACAATTTTCTTGTGAGTGAGAATAAGATAGAAACCTCTTGCTGTAAATCTGTGATGATGGCATTAACTTCTTAGCCTCGTTAGTGAGGTCTCCTTGCTCGTTCGATGCCTATGGTAGACATTATGATTTCTAAATAAGACCACCAGAACCCAAAATATGCTGCACTAATGTATAATATACAAACAGTACTCAGCTAAATACACATCATGAACCAAGGTGATCTTAGTATACTAATTTAAAGTAAATAATAACCGTATGATACCAACTTATATATCTTATTATGCAGAATCTTAAAGTAAATAATAACCAAGGTGCTGATATTGTTATTGTTCTACTATAGTGGAAAATATAAGGAGATATACATTAATAATAGTCTTAGTTACTGATATTGTTACCAAGCACTTGACCAAGTGAGAAAAACCAAAAATTTATACAGTCAATATTAGAACGGTGACCGCCGTTATTTCAAGAAACTTAGTTAGGGACGCTAAAGCGAATGGTGACGGAACAGAAGAATCCGTTAGCTTGAAATAAACATGAACGTGTACCCATATATATCTCAACATTAAACAAATACAAATACCTTTTGAAATAAAGATCAAACAACAAACCTCAGTTATTGAAAATGATAATAAGAATGAGGTCCGGCGATAAGAATAGAGTGGTAGAGATTTTGATGCCGCTAAGAACGTAGTTCCAAAATAGCTCATCTCAACATCCCCTCTCCACCAATTCTCTATCTATTGGGACAAAAATACTTGATATTCCCATAGCGACGGTCCTGTTATTTGCAGATTGATGGCCATCTTTCCTTGCTGAAGGTTCTGCATACATGTCGCCAGAGGCTGTAAAATTTTCATCATCATGAAATTATGTTCCTTTGCAAAGCTACAACCAAAACATACTGCAAAGCTTTCTACTTATGACACATACCTTTTAGTATTGATGACATAATGCAAAGGGAGCAGAGTAGGAGTTCGGCAGTGGCAATATATAACTAAATTCTATGGGCCTCGGTCTTTTGCAGCCATAATTAAACTGCAAATCAGACGATATAAGTGCAGAGATATATCAAATGAAACCAAATTCCAATCATAGAGATATAGTTATATAGTATTTACCTAGAGAAAGTCTATCCACATTTCTGTTGCTTCTTTTGAAGCTTTGGCTCCAGCTTTTGGGGCTTTGATAATTTTGCTTTCAGGGACAGCTTTTGGGGGTGTGAGTCGCGAGCAGATTGACGTTCACAGTGGCCGGCATCATGGTGGCCTGAATATATGTCAAAAAGACACAACAAACATCAATATTTCCAGAATTGCTTAGTGTAAAATGTTTGGAACGAAATCAAGAAATAACAAAAAAAAAAATTGGTAACATGGATCCAGGAAGGGGAAAAATGGTAATGTATTAACTGTTGTAATAGCTCCGTTTAATGAATAACCGGTGGATAAAATATGACGGAAACATTTTTTTTTATTGAGAGTTAGTTAAATTCAATTCAAGACGGTGAGAAGTTGTAAAGCATCCAATCAGTGAAATAACTCTATTTATGAACTAAAGAGGAGTCTAAGAAGAAACCTGAGAATCTAGTAGGAGCTATCCATCAACGGCGGACATTATGGGTCTCCCAGAACCGGAGCAAACGGATTTGAGAGGAGTTGTTTACTACCTTTTTAAAACGAATGAGAGGATGAATATGAAAATCAGAGAGCTCATCTTTTTTTATAATACACATCCACCGACTCATAGCCCGCATTGAATATAGATCGTTTGTAATGGTTTAATGGAGGGTAACTGGTATCCTTTAGTGATGCAATGAAGAAGACGAAAGATCTCTTGAGAAAGTCGTAATCACGTAAACGCAACGTTTCATTAAAGGGTTAGTAGGGAAGACAATATACAAAGGCCCGGTCATTTTGAAGCCCAAACGGATCTCACATATCAGGTAACGAAACACAGTGTTTAGCCGACCATGCCACATGGCAAGCTCAAAATATATGATTTAATGACGTGTCCTTCCCAAGAGGGAGGAAACTATCCTTTATATATATAGATGTTAGGAACAAGTTTGTAAGCAGTACGGTTGAATAGTCTAATGTGTGTTTCAAAAAAAAAAAGTCTAATGTACTAAGAAAGCAAATGAAAAGATTTGTTTTGCTTTTACTTTTCAGGTGCCTAGCGTGTGTAGAAATTAGTAGTGTACCACAGTTAGATTAATGCGGTTGAACATTTATCTGTTAAAATATAAATACAAAATAATATTTTATTACGTTTAAGAATTTTCTTAGAATTTTCATTTTCCTTTCTAATATAATCTAAACATTTCATTTATTATCTTATCCAAATAATTAGATAGCATTTATTACAAAAGTAAAAAAACAAAAATTACCTATTTTAGAATATTTTATTTATTACATTTTATTACATTTATTTTTAGTTCTTCTTGTTGGAAAATGAAAAACAAAAAAAGCAAACAAATAACTGAAATTTTTTTTTTCCTAATTTATAAAAAAGTAATTATTTTTATCGTAATAATTTTTCATCATTTATTTTACAAATTAGTAATTCGAAAACTTTAAATGAAATTCTTCCATTCGTAACAATATTTCAAAATGCTTAACAAATAATTTTTTATTTGTTAATACATAGAACTAGTTAGACATGAATATTTGGGTACCATTCGTTCATGTAAATGTACGTATTATTTATTTTTATATCATTTTTTAAGTTTCAAAATTAAACTCATTCGAATATTATAAATTTTTAGGTGTATTTAGATTGGATCCTTCAAAATTCACATGGATATAGTTCTAATGTATATGAATTTAAAAATATTTAAATAATCAATAAATTCATATATTTATATCAAAAGTAATTATACTATTCGATTCAATCTAAATCTTTTTGAATAATCAATAAATTCGTAAATTTAACACTAATCTTATAAAATATATAATATCAATTTGTAAAAGCATAAAATCAAGGATGCATTAGCTTAGTGTCTAGGAAAGGTGTCATGGTGTGGGATTTAGGGTATTAACATAATTAGAGAATAAGTTGTGTATATAGGGTGCAATTTCACTAAAATCAATATCTATGCCGTGGAGCAGATCAAATCCAAGTTATCGGATTAAAAGAAGCCACAAAGAACAAGGTATTTCGTTCAAAAAGAAAAAAAAACGAAAAGAAGGCATTTAAAGGCATTATTTAAAACTTGGCAAAACCAAGACGACAAGAACCAAAAGATCCAACGATTGAAGATAACTTGACCGCCGTGTAAGAAATGTCAAAAAGCGAAGACGAATGATGGAAACTGAATAGTGTTATGTTGATTTATGTGAAAGAGGTTGAAAAGAGAGAGACATACTATATTTTAAAATTTTCTAAAATTATTGACTTTTATGGAGACATCCAATATAGTCGTTTTTTATCATTTAAATAAATTACTGCAAAAATTATCTTATGAATTTGATAAAAATGATAGAATTCAATGAAAAACACTTAAATTTCAAACTTGCTGAATTGTATTTCACTGATATATAATCCAAAATAATTGATAAATTAAAACAAATAAGTTTCTATAATCCTTTCAACACCAATCTAAAATGAAACTTTTCTTATATATATACATATACTTTAAATGATTAACAAAGAATACTGATTTAAAATCGAATATATTAAAAGTTGAAGTAGTTGTCCAAAACAAATATACTAAAGGTTAAGAAACAAACAAAATTGACACTGAATTTAAAATAAGAGTAATAAAATAACAAAATAAAGAGATGGGTTTAAAGGCGTGACAGGACTGGTCCATCATCAATGCCATCTCCCAACACCTTTCTCTCTCAGCTACTTGCAGCAAAATTGCAAACTGGTCGATAGATACTTTGTCCCTTCTCTATTTGTTGGTTGACGAAGAGAATAGGTGAGCAAGAGTAGTTTCTTTCTCACAAGCTATTTGTTCGGTTCCTTTAATATATGTTTTTCATCCAGCTAGAGAACACTGCAAAATATAAAATAAAATGAAAAAATATCTTTATCCTCACAACTTTTGATATGTTTTTTCCTTAGCTTTTCAATTTCCGTTGATAAAGTTGTTACCTTTCTGATCTCTAATTCTGTTATACAGAAAGGGTTTCTTTGAAGATCATGGGAATTTGCTTGAGTGCTCAGATTAAAGCTGAGAGTCCAAGTAACACAGGTACTGCAAGCCTCATGCTATCATTTACATATATATATATATATATATATAGAAATAAAAACTACTCATGCAAATGCTTGACTTATAAACAAATATTTAATTCAGGTTTTTGTTGGTAATTTTCAATTCTGAGGTTAGGTTTTTGGTGGTTGAGACATAAGGTGACTTAACTTAAAAGTTAGGCTTTAGTGTTTTGACAAATCTGTATAATAATTGATTAATTTATCCTTAAACTATGTCGTTTTAGGTAATTGGTTAATTCACGTCTCATCATAGTTAGTAATCATCAGAGGAAAAGACAAGCATGAACATTCAGATTTTTCAAAAATGGGTTTTGTAAAAAAGGTGAAATCTAAAGTTTTTCTATATACAAACTATTTGTTTGGTGCTTGCATAGGTGTGAGTTCGAAGTACATGAGCTCAGAAGCAAATGATACACAAAGCATGGGAAGCAAATGCTCATCTGCGTCAATCAGAACAAACCCTCGAACCGAAGGAGAGATCTTGCAATCTCCAAACCTCAAAAGTTTCAGTTTGGCTGAGCTCAAGTCAGCAACTAGGAATTTCAGACCAGATAGTGTTCTTGGTGAAGGTGGATTCGGTTGTGTCTTTAAAGGATGGATTGATGAGCAGTCTCTTGCTGCATCTAAAGCGGGAACCGGTATGGTTATTGCTGTCAAAAGACTTAACCAAGATGGTTGGCAAGGTCATCAAGAATGGCTGGTAAGATATTATTGCTAATCACAAAGATTCTATATAATGAAACTTATATTGAAGAATGTTTTTGTTTTTGTTGTAGGCGGAAGTGAATTACTTGGGGCAGTTCTCTCATCCAAATCTTGTGAAACTTATTGGTTATTGCTTAGAGGATGAGCATCGTCTTCTTGTGTATGAGTTCATGCCTCGTGGAAGCTTAGAGAATCATTTATTCAGAAGTATTCTCTTGATCTTCTCCTCTGATAACTTGTAATGTTCTCCGAGTATTCAATCTTGTTACTTGATGTTGCAGGAGGTTCTTACTTCCAACCGTTATCTTGGACTCTACGTTTGAAAGTTGCTCTTGGTGCTGCACAAGGCCTAGCTTTTCTCCACAATGCTGAAACTCAAGTCATATACCGTGACTTCAAAACTTCCAACATACTTATTGATGCGGTACGGTACATTCATCTCTGATGTGATGTTAAAAGGTTGTGGAAGTCTAAGACTTAACGGTACATGTTCACAGGATTACAATGCTAAGCTTTCTGATTTTGGGTTAGCAAAGGACGGTCCAACAGGTGATAAAAGCCACGTCTCTACAAGGATTATGGGTACTTATGGATATGCAGCTCCTGAGTATCTTTTGACTGGTTAGTTATAGTCTCTCAAAACTCTTTTTGATTTAACTTATGTTATGATGGTCACTGACTTGTTTCACTTTCCTTAAAGGTCATTTAACAACCAAGAGTGATGTCTATAGCTATGGTGTTGTGCTTTTGGAGATATTGTCTGGACTTAGAGTTGTGGACAAGAACCGTCCACCAGGAGAGCAAAAACTGGTGGATTGGGCAAAGCCTTTACTTGCAAACAAGAGGAAGCTATTTCGAGTTATCGATAACCGTCTCCATGATCAGTACTCAATGGAAGAAGTATGTAAAGTAGCTACTCTAGCGCTGAGATGCCTGACAACAGAGATAAAGCTGAGGCCAAACATGAACGAGGTTGTTGCTCACCTCCAACACATTCAAGCTTTGCATGAAGCAGGTGGAGGAGGAAACATTGATAAGATGGAGAAAAGAATGCGTAGGAGAAGTGATAGTGTTGTCCTCAGCCAGAATCCAAATGCAGGTTTTGCTAGGCAAACAGCTGTTGGTGAAATAGCAGCTGCTTATCCACGTCCCTCTGCTTCTCCTCTGTTCTCTTCTGTTTAGTTCAGATGTACAGTTTTGCTTCAACTTATGTACTGAGAGGATTCAAGTTCATAGCTCACCAGAGATTTGACAATTAATCTTTGTAGTGCAAAGAGTTTACTAACATAAAGTAATGATCAAGAAATCTTTGTGCTTAGACACCTTATAGAGGATTAATATTTAGGTGGACGTCTAAACCTATTTTTTTGAATGTCTAGACCGAGTTTTAAATAATTTTTCAGACCGATTTTTAGAACACTGACCTAAAGAAGTATAAGTGATCTCTCATGTCCTTCAACTTCAAGCTTTGTTATAAGCAAAACAAACAAGAGGCTTCATTGCATTATCTACATTCAGTTCTTTGTCTAAGAAGATTATATACAATGAAACAAAACTATCTTTTACCATGTTCTAACTAGTCCCGGTGTCCAGTTTCGCCAGTCTAGCTTCGAAAGCGACTTGTTTAAGCTCATCTTATCCCTCAGATCAAGAACCTTCTTCATATAAGTACTCCCTTGCTTACTAGTCATCTCAGGCTCACTCTCTCCACTTATCTCAGCTTCAGTGATCTCATCACCAAGTAGTGTAGGAGCGTTTTCAGTCTCTTCATCAATGATGCTACCAAGAAGCGAAACTACTTCACTCATCCTAGGCCGAGATTTTGGTTGCTTCAGAAGACATTTGTTTGCTAAAGCAGCTACTCTCTGAACAGACTTTATACAGTAGTACTGTCCTTGGAGCCGTGGATCAATAATCACATGGAACTTCTTAGAGTCTGATACATAAGGTTTCACCCATTCTAGAAGCTTCTGCTCTCCTCGAGGTCTGTTTCTGTCCAACGCTCGTCTTCCTGTGATGAGTTCATACAATACTACACCAAAGCTCCATACATCACTCTTTGCTGTCAGTTTACCCGTTTGTACATACTCAGGAGCTGCGTAACCAACCGTACCTACAACCTTTTGAAACAAAGACTTTAAAAGAGATGTTATGTTATGCTAGAAAGAGGCAAAAGAGGAGGAGGTTACATACTGAAGTTGAGACGTGACCAAGTCCTTCAGGAGGTCCTTGTCTAGCTAATCCAAAATCTGAGAGCTTAGCACTGAACCTCTCATCAAGCAAGATGTTTGAAGACTTGAAGTCTCGGAAAATTAACTACAAAAGATTCACAAAAAAACAAGATCAAGAAAACCGAAACACAAATCTTATTTTTTTAAATGTTGATACAAAACCTGGAAGTCCATTTGTTCATGAAGATAAGCTAAGCCTTGAGCAGCGTCTTGAGCAATCTTCAACCTTGTAATCCATGGAAGAGATACAGACATGACTCTGCCTACAAGATGATCCTCCAAGCTTTTATTGCACATTAGCTCGTAAACTAAGAGCCGTTGCATCCCTCTTTCATCGTCGTCAGCGCAGTACCCAACTAGCTTCACAAGGTTTGGATGGTTCACTACTCCTAAGAAACTCACCTCGTTGATCCATTCTTTATGCCCCTGAATGCTAGAACGTAAAGCACACACCACAAAGATTCACAACAGAACACACAAGACAAACCAATAACGACACCAAAGATTCAACCTTTATCAGAAAACACACACGCAAGATTCAAGCTTTCTCAAATAGAAAACACAAAGATTCAATCTTTTGCATACAGAACACACAAAGATACAACCTTTTCAAACCGAACACACCAAGTTTCAACTTTTTCAGACAGAAGAAATCAAGATTCAACCTTTTTCAGATAGAACACACCAAGATTTAACCTTTTTCAGACAGAACACATCAAGATTCAACCTTATTCAGACAGAACACACAAGAATCAAGATTTTTCAGACAAAAACATCAAGATTTAAGATAGAACACACCAAGATTCAACCTTTTGAGATAGAACACACCAAGATTCAAGCTTTTTCAGACAGAACACCAAGATTCAACCTTTCCAGACGGAACATACAAGATTCAAGATTTTTCAGACAGAACACACCAAAACTCAACCTTCTTTAGGCAGAATGCACCAAGATTCAACCCTTTTCAATAGAACTCACTAATATTCAGTCTTTTTAAAAAATACACACACAAAGTTTCAAAGTTTAAAAAGCTATATCTGTCAATTGGAATCGAACTCTTGTCCTCCAACTAGATTCAACCACTAACTAATGAAGCAGATTAGAGTACAAAGAAAAGGATAGAGTCATGCCTGTAAACCTTGACGATTAAGCTGTTTCACGGCGACATTGATCTTAGAGTCGAAACCATCAACGACGACGCCTCTATAAACACAACCGAACCCTCCTTCGCCTATAAGAAGAGCTCTACTGAAACCTTTCGTAGCAACCTTCAGCTCACCGTAGCTGAACACCTTCAGATCGTTCTCTGCCGTGACTCCTCCACCGGTCCAACGTTGACTCAGCGGCTTGTGGAAACCGAAACGCTCCGGTGAGAAGCTCCAATCCGAGTCAAACTCGGACCGGCGAGTCGGGTCTGAAGCAGTTGAGGACGCCACGCTTAGAGAACGAGCCCACGAGAGTCTCGATGCTCGTGAAACGACGCTGTTTTGACCTTCCTCTCCTTCGTCTCCTCTCTTGTCGCCGTTGGTGAAGTGGAAACACTTCATCTTCTTCGTCGTCTTCTTCCAAATCGGACTGAGTCAACTCGAAAATTTTGGAGCCTTTTTTTTCTTTGTTTTTGAGGGAGGGATGGGTAATGATCTGACGTGACGGGTTAACTTATTCTGATGACGTGTCGAGTTGAGAACCGTTCGAGTTTTGAGATGTAACGTTCCTCGAGCTGACCTAACTTACAACCAAGTTTCAGCTCAGTGAAATAAAAGTATTAGTTTGGTCGGAACGACGTGTAGATTCATGTTTTTAATTTTTAAAGATAGAAGATGGTACTCGTGCGTGCAGCAGCAAGATTTTGAACTATAATCTTGAAGATTGATTTGTTGTTAGTTGTTTCAAAAAAAAAGAAAAGATTTGTTGTTAGTTGGACTTGGACCAAGTCGTTCTAATTTTCTCTTTGTTTTGTTTACCTAACTCTCCTCATATATGACATGTTTCAGTAATTTTCTAAAGGAAGTGCATACTGCTAAGGCCTAATCTCGGGGATTAATACCAATTACACATGGACTTTGATGGGCTTTTGTTCTGGATTTTACGAATTGGACTTTCGGAAAAAAATCTAACAATATTAAAAGGACTAAATAAAACCTCCTGAACTATGACACGTATGCAAAAATAATCAACCTATCACAAAGCTTTAAATTACCACATCAGCTCCATATGTGCTATTTCTTCTTCACTTTTCTTTTCGTCTTACTACATCCATTAATTATAGTCTGTTTGTCTCCCTCTCTACTTCAAACCCCTAAATCCTCAAGCATCACCCTATATATAAATAAAATCTGGTTCACCTGAAAAAAAAAAAAAACAGAATCCGATTCTTCTCAATCGACGAAGATCGGATTCGAAATTAGACGATGAAGCCATCAGCTTCGTTAGATAGCTGGAGTGAATATTTCCGCCGAGGAGATTCAGACATCTTCAGGATCATCGATCACGCCATCATGGTAGCCGCTGCTGATTGCCCCCAACAAATTCAAATCGAGAAGAGACAAAATCGCCGAGCTTTGATTCTTCTGCAAGGCGAATCGCTGCACGGGTTGCGACAACCTCGAGCTATCGGTTCCCGGAGGCGACGAGGAGGCTAATGATATCGGAGATATGGGGGTTGATGGGGGTGAAGCTGGTGGGAGTAAAGAGAGCAAAGCTAATAGTAGCAGAGGAGATAACAATCATATTATAAACGAGACGACGAATCTGGTGATGAAGCTGAGGCCTTGAGTGATGCGATTGAAGAGTTTTCTATGATGTCTAAGGAAGTTTGTAGGATTAAAGAGATCTTTCTCAACAAAGACAACGAGGTTTTTGATCTAAAGCTTGGGGGCTTGATGGTTTTGTTGTTTGGTTTGTGCAGCCACACTCGGTGATTTAACATCTTTGAGGAAGCTAAAGTTGATGTCTTTGAATGTTGATATCAAGGTTGGTTTCTGGCTGTTCTTGAGGTTTGTATGGAGTTGAGTGATTGATAAGTGTTTTCTCACTGAGTACTGAGACTGGAAAGGCTGTTAATGGATTGAGGAAACATGCTTCTGATAAGATTCACCAACTTTTAAAGACTTTATCGCGTATGTCACTTTGATCATTCATCAAGATTGATACTTTCTGCCACTATTTGATCATGGCATTGAGTTTCTTTGATGGGTTTATGCAGAGAGTGGAAGGAGATTGTTGATCAATGGGTGAAGACCACCAAGGAAATAGCTGGTAATTAAACTCTCTCTGTCTTTTTTTTTTTGTTATATTTCTACTGTCTTATGGGAGTTGATGTCTTTTGGTTTCTTTGAAATATAGATTCTTTGGACTTTGGATCAAAACCCACCGCATCCATGGCTAACAAAAAGGCAAAATCAACTGTTTTTCAGAAGAAAAAAAAAATCTATACATACAAAAGGTAATTTATTTTAATAGTCTGCTCAAAAAAAAATTATTTTAATAGTTTTCTATGATATTTATGATACACTGTAATTTGTTTGTAGCTTGGAGATAACAAAAGCTATGAATCATGAACAAATAAAAGCTGAAGTTTTTAATGAACAGATGCTGCGCTTTGGGAATCATAGCAAGGATTCTCAGAACCACATCCTGACAGGTTCTAACATAATCATTTCACTTGGGTCAGACATTGGGTCTGTTGATTTTTGAAAGTATTTGATTTTACATAAGTTACGTGTTTTGAAACAATCAGCGGCTAGGTATGGTGGCAGTTCGATGTCTCAGTGGGCGATGTCACCAGGAAGATCATTGGAAGCAGCTCATCAGACCTCCTCGAGCCTCAAGCCTCCAAGAGACAAAGGCCTTGGTAAACTACTCAACCTTCGTTTTGATTTCTCCAGGAGAAAGAAGAAGCCTTCTTCACCATTAAAACCAAAGACAACAGAGTCTACTCATCAGCTGAAACTTATGAACAATCAGTTGGTTCAGTGGAGGTTTGCCAATGCTAGAGAGTCGGCTGCAAACAATACTCCGAGCAAAGGTAATAATGTCATCATCATCACTTCTACTCATGAAACCCTTTTCCAGAAACAATTACTCTGTGCATGGGATGCTCTTACCAAATTACAAAATTTGGTTATACAAGAGAGAATTAATCTGTAAAAGAAAAACTTGGAAATGAAGCTGGCTCATGTCCTTCTTTCTCAGGTACGTCTCTGGTAAAAAAAAAACCATTTGCTGGTCTTTTGGAAGCAAGTCTGAATCGGATTGATAAGAAATAAATATGAAATAGGTTAAGCATCTTGAGGCATGGCAGGACATGGGAAGACAACACTTTTCATCTATTTCCATATCCATACAAGCCATGCATTCTCTTCTTTCCAGGGTTCCCCTAAGGGAAGGTACAAAGGTAATTAAGATCATGCTCCTCACCTTTTTTTTTTGGCAATAACAACTAAGGTTTTCAGGTGAACATAGAATCTGCTGTCACTATATTTCAGAAGGGAGAAGCAGTCTCTGATGCTATCATTTTAACTGTGAATAGTTTTGCTCCTAAGGTATGTTATATATTTCCATGCCGAGGGGTAAAAAGGTGACATATAAGTAGGTTGTTTAGTAACTTTAAAGAATATTTCTATTAGCAGATAAAGGACATCGTTCCACTTGCCTCTCAACTTGCTGAAGTGGTGGCACAAGAGAAGTTAGTGCTGGAGCAGTGCCATGATCTTATGAGAATGATATCTGAGTTAGAGGTACAAAATTTTATTTGTGCCTGAAAATCTCTCAGAACTGATATATTACATGTTTCTTTTCTTCTCTTTCTTTGATCATATTTTGTTGGATGCAAGCAGATGGAGGAGAGGAGCTTAAAGTAATGCCTTATAATTCAACAGAACAAGACTTTGGATACAAAACTTGTTCAAGACTAGGGCTTTGGTTTCCACTGAGTCAAAGCTTTTTTTTCTCATCAAGGTTTCTTAGGCTATTTTGTATTAGTAAAAGTTAGTATTTTGAGAGCCTATATAATAAAGAGAGAACCCTAATAAAGATTAGTAGAACATGCTTTTTGATAAATAAGGGCAAGAGTTTTTTACTGGTTACAGATTTAAAATTAGCTTGATGCCATTTACATTTTGGTGACACACTGATATGACGTGCCTAGCTTATTACAAACAATCAAACATGATCTGTGTTAACCTTTTTTCTACTTAACAATCTAGGGCTGGGAAAAAACTCCGAATCCAATCCGAAAAAATAGTACCGAATCCAAATCGAAATTAATTAAATATCCGAACAGGTTCATAATTTTGGTATCGAAAGAACCGAACTCGATCCAAACCGAAGTATTGTGGATATCCGAAATAGATTTATATACCTAACTATATTACTTATTTTTATATTTAATGTATATTAGAAATATCTAAAATATATGAATACTTGAAAGTATATTCAAATAGTCAAAAATAAATGTCTAAAATAGCTAAAATATACTCAAACGCGATTTTACCTAATATTACAAATATATAGAAAAAACAATGCTCAAAATTTATAAAATATTAAATTTAAATTGGTAAAAGATTTGTTGAAAATGAAACTAGATGAAAAAGTAACGAAATCATTAATAAAATAATTAAAGATGAGACTTTGATAAATGTAAAACACATAATCAGCGCATAGGGCGGAAAAAGAATTTAGTAATAGTAAAGAACACTTGAAAATTTGTCACAATTCCCCCATTGATAAGTGAAAATTGGGTGGGGAAAATAATAAATTTGATTCGACCATTAATTGTTTCAATTCAACTAAAAAAACCCGATGTGTATATCGAACATCAATCTATATATATTAAAAACTAAATAAATACAACATAAAATACATACATGTACTATAAGAGCATTCCGAATGAGAGTATCAAACATTAAGGTTCTCAATATATATATATATCTTAATATTAGTATTTAGTTATGACGTTTTTAACTTTACAGATAACTTAATCCAAAAATTCTGCATAAAAATATTTTTGGTTAGATTTCCTGTAAACTGGAAAACCTCATAATCAAATACTAATATTAATATATACATAGATATGTATATTGAGAATCTCCAGTGATACATACTCCCATTAGAGATGCTTTAACATATATATAAGAACAAATAAAGATCATAGTCAATATTTCATTATCTAAAGATATTACATAATAATTAAAATAACAATTTAAAATTTTATATATGTGCCTTTAATATATGTATATATGAGTTATCAATAACAAGCATGAATTCATTAACTGGTTTCTAAAAAATATTATAATATAACATTTGATTTTTGTACACAACTATTAATTATTGTATTTATGTTAAATAGCATCAATAATAAATATTTAAATAAAATTTAACGAACATGTTTTTATAGTTTTCCAAATATTTATAATTTTCTATGAAAATATAATAGAATAGAATATATATAAATAATAAATAAGTTTAAGAGAAATTTAAGTGAATATACTCTCTTTGTTTCAATATAAGTGTCATTTTAGGTTTTTACATTTGGATTAAGGAAACAAATAATTTTACATATTTTTTATATAAAAACACAATTACCTATTCACCTAACCATATTTCAACCAATATAAAAATAAATTACAAAATAAAATTAATAAATTTTACATTGAAAACCAAAAATAACACTTATTTTCTAAGGAAAAAATTATCTATTATAACACTTAATATAAAACAAAGGAATACATTTTAAAATAATTTTAGTGAAAGGAAAGAAAATATAAAAGAATAAAGAAAAAACAAAGAACTGGATTGAAATCTGTCGTAGGCCAGCTCTTCCTTCCCTTATCCATGTAGGACAATTAGTTCTAGGCAAATACGAATCTGCATGTTTAACAATTTATAGTTTTTCATTTTTTTGGTTCTGCAACTAAAAACATGAATGAACAAAAAATGCAGTATCATCTGCATTTTAACTAATCTGCACTTCATTTGCATTTATCATGCATCCATTCATAGTTAGGCCTGGATATTCGGGTCCTCGGGTCAGGTTTGGGTTGGATCCTTTCGGTTCCGGATCCTTTGGGTTTTAGAGTTTAAAACTCAATAGGTTAATTCGAAATATGCTTTACAGGGCCGGTTCAGGTCTCGTCGGATCCGGTCTTAGTTTCTAGGAACTGATAATACCCGATATTTTTTTGTTCTTAAAAATCTGGATCGGTTTTTGGATTTTTGAATCATTTTTAGAATTTTTGGGTCTGGTATATCTGATCTCAGTTTGGGTTTACCATTTTTGGGTCCAAATTACCCTATTTACCCAAAATATTACCATGTAATAAAAATCTGAAATGCTTGAAAACCTACAAAACAATTAATTTTATATTTTATAACAACAACTTTTGCTAGCAGTTTCAGAAAATATGACTAAACAAAGTTTTACCATAAATTGTAGACATAAGTAGACATTAAAAATTAAAAACTGATCAAGTGCAAATTCAAAAACATAAGAACTAGCCAACTAGGCAACCAAAACACGAAAACAACAACAAGTAACAAGAAACTGATACAGTGATACTCAGTCTCCAACTCTCACTATGCTTATGAGCACCAACATTCAAGCTTGAAACACTGGTTTAAATTCTGAAAAACAAAATCAAGGACGATCATTAAAACTTAAAAGTGTAAACCAAACTAAAAAATATAATGAAAATAGACATAAATATTAAAGAGATTAGAAACCAGAAATCATACTTCTCATAAGAGCATCTTCCTATTATATGAACTTAAGCATTTGTTCCTTTCTTGTGATTCCTAAAGATTCGAATCGTTCTTATATTTCTATATACGAAATAACCGAACCAAAAATTGAACGGTGTCCGAATATATAAAAAATTTAATTGTATATACATATAATATAACTAAATATATATTTTAATTGCAAAACCTGTTAGAAGTATAAGAAAATAATTGAATGAAATTAAATTATTATAAGGTATCCGACCTACCCCAAAGAATCCAGATATTTTTCTCTTAAATATCCAATTGAGAATTTCATATATTTGGCTACGCGAAAGTATCTGAACTACCAAAATTTAAATTGTATCACTCAAAATATTTTTTTTTTGTTTTCACATATAATAATTTTAATACATTTTTTTTATAAAAATATGAAATGATGTTATATATTAAATTATATATTATTTTTATACACACTTATATATATTTAGTTAATCTATAAAAAGTATTTATATACATTATTTTTGTATGCTACAAATATATAACTACAGTAAATAATCTTATAATATTTATGTAAATATAAAACATATATGCTATAGTTGTTATAGTTGACTTTATTTTTAGTATTGGTGATAATTAACATAAACAAAGTAGTTAACAGTTGTGTAAAAAATTTAAATTTCATCTTTTAATATTTTTATATAAATCAGTTAAATTAATTCATGCATTTTTAGTTGCTTATACTTATTCAAATACTTATTTTATCATTGTTTAATCTTTATAAACAATAAAATATCATTATTTTTATTCCTTCATACATATATATACTATAACACATTCAACAAAGAGTTCAATTTTGATATAGAATACTAATTATTTATTTGATTTAGGTCAAAATTTCACTTATTCTCTTAGGTTATAATATAACATACACATGCATTTCATATTTTATTCTATAGTTTCACACATGCAATGTTTTTATTTTCTGTTTAATTAATTTTTATATTTTGAAATTCAGTCATATATATATATATATATATATATATATATATATATATATATATACATTAGTTAAAAACAATTCAAAAGTTAAGATACTCTTTTCATTAGTTTCTTCAATGAATTATAAAATATCAAACATATTTTTTGTTCTCACATATACATGTATGCATTTTTAAATTTTAAATTTCTAAACAAAGATTTTGTTGACACAATAATATATATTAAATTTACTTAGTTTAACGGAATGGTAAGAGAGAACCAAAAATTAAACAAAAATACAAAAATTAAAGCAAAACAAGAATACTCTTTATAATTATTACTTGTGATGAATTTTCATATAATTTAAAATTTCAAAATTAAAATAATGATAGTTATTGTTATTTGTGTCAATATGATATTTATTCCTTAACATAATAAGTTTTATTTTGTTTAGATATTTAATTTTAATTAAAATATTTATCATTTATTTAAATATAATAATTTATTAAATTAGTTTAAACTGCATTTTTATACTTAATCTACATTTTTTTAGTTGATCTGAATTTATGTTTAATATGCGTTCTCCATCCGAAGCTTTAGGATATTAATTGGCATGCAGAGTAAATGCAGATTTTACCATATTTTGTCTCCTTTTAGCCTGTTAACTGCAGAACAAAACTAAATATATAAAATATTCCATCCATTTCATTATAAGTATCGTTTAAAGTTTTTCACTTAAATTAAGAAAATGATTAAATTTTATATTAGACCCATATTTATTATACTATGTTATTTCATTTTATTAATTAATAAATTAAAAACAAGGATAAAAACTGGGAAATATATTTAGTTTTGCTTTGGAAATGTGAAACGACATTTGTAATGAAATTAATTTTAAAAGCTAAAACAACAAATGATATGAAACTAAAAGACTAATAAATATTTGCATGCAAGATAAATTTGGTCATGTATATAATGATCTGCAGGATAAAAGTGGAATGCATCCAAAAGCATGTTGAGACTCAATAACATTAATTTGTTTTATTTTTCTTTTTTTATTTGTCTGCACTGTTTTTATTTATTTATTAAATATATATTCAGTTAATTTAGTTCTTTTACTTCTAAATCAAACATATCTTATCTCAAAAATAAAATTTCATAT